CAGTTAACTTAGGTGAAGACCCCAAGACAGTCTGTCATGTACAAAGCTCCTTTGTACCATTATCGAGGGTGTGGCTTCTAAATTTTGTCTTATTTTAATCAGGTAAAGAAGGCCCTTGAGCTCTATGAACAGCTTCGTCAGCGGATGGGCGTTGTGGTGATTGGTCCCTCCGGCTCAGGTAAAAGCACCATCTGGAAGTTGCTGCGGCTGGCCCTTGGTAAAGTGGGCCAGACAGTGAAACACTACACAATGAATCCAAAGGCTATGCCACGAACTCAGGTTAGTGTTTTATTACGGTGTTAGTTTTCTTCAAATGGCGTGAATCTTCTTTAAGCTCTAAACAAACGTTCGCAGCAATTCGTGCTTTGGACTAATGTGCACCATGTTTCCACCTCAGAAATGTTGCGCACGATTTTGCAGAAGTGGAATCGTCTTCTACATCTAAAACATTGCGCACTAATTCGTATGTGAATCCAGTATCTGCAACATAACGCGTAACAGTTATAAACCTTTGGTCTGCTGGATGTAGTTCACATTTCTCATGAACGTAAGCCTTTCAGCAAAGGACGAGATTAATGTTGTTAAGCGATTAAATCATCAGTAGCGTCTATTTTTGTTTGAATTGTTCTCTTAACAGCCAGACAAAAATGTAGCCGTTCAACTTCCTTTCTTTGTGGCGGTCGAATTTGTCATTCTAAACACTAGAGTTTGGTATGCACATGAGCAATGATGAGTGCAATATATATTTTGGTGCGTACTTAGGACACCCTCCTGTACCACTCCCAGGCCTATTTAGTCCCATCGTTATTTTGCTTATTCCACCGCTTCACTTACATTAGTACTGATTTATTCAATAGCTACTGGGGCAAATTGACATGGACACTCGTGAGTGGTCGGACGGAGTTTTAACGAACGCAGCTCGCCAAGTTGTTCGTGAACCAATCGATGTCCAATCGTGGATCGTGTGCGATGGCGACATTGATCCCGAGTGGATCGAATCTCTCAACTCTGTCCTTGATGACAACAGACTGCTGACCATGCCCTCCGGTGAAAGGATACAGTTTGGTCCTAATGTTAACTTCCTGTTTGAGTCACATGACCTGAGCTGTGCCTCGCCTGCCACTATTTCACGCATGGGTATGATATTTCTGAGGTAAGGCAAAAGTAATTTGTTTGCTATATATATGACTAACGGGGAGGCGCGGTGGCCTGGACTCCGGATCGAGCGGTTCGGGTTCGAGCCCTGGCGGGGACATTGTGTTGCGTTCTTGAGCAAGACTCTTAACTCTCACAGTGCCTCTCTCCACCCAGGTGTATAAATGGGTACGGTGATTTTAATGCTGGGGGTAACCTTGCGATGGACTAACATCCAATCTAGGGGGTGGGGGAGTAGAAATACTCGTAGTCGCTTCATGCAACAGAATTGAAACCGGAGATAAGCACCGGCCTGATGGGCCACTTGGCTCGTGTGCAGACTTAACCTATATATGACTGAGGGATATGACTTTAAATTATTACGACCTGCCGTTAAAACTTAAAAGAGCGATTAATCGTCATAAGTGAAAACCATTGTTTACCCGATTGAGAGAATGACAAATATGGCTTGGTGAATTACTCGGCACAAAACGGGGAGCTTTTCAGTAACATGTCGATATATTTTTCTCAAACAATACATAAACATAGTGGAAGCTCCATGTACGAGGTTCATTCTCTCGTGGTAATAAATTATGAAACACACTCGCTCGAAGACATAACGTAACGATTGCATTGAGAAACGTAAATGAGCCTCAGTAGATTTTGTTTTGTACATGTCCTCACGGCAGCCATATTGGGGTCCCAAAACAATGAAACGCTGGCCACGTTGGTGTCCCAAACCAATCTTGTGGGAGTTGAACTCTTTTCTCATGCCGAACTTCCTTCTTATTTCTTCCGATAAATTTGCCTGGCTTGCTGGCAACGCTCTATAACTGTAACTATAGCGAGAACATCATATTACAAATCCGACAAATCATCCACTGAGGGCCATAACTCAGCTGACACATCTTGAGCAACCCCCTATTCTTTTGCTGGTTTTCTCTTATTATAGGGAGAAACTACCTCCCTTTTCCATTTTCTTTGGTTGCTAGATTTCTACGCACGAACTTTGCATGGAATGACCTTCAAAGCTCAAAAACAAACTTTAATGACATGACATCTCAAACAGCAACTATTTGATTTTGAAATAAAGGACAAAATTTTTCCTTTCAGTGACGAAGACACGGACGTGAAAGCTCTTGTCAAATCCTGGCTTCAGAGCCAACCCGAGGAGGATCGACGCATGTTGGAGACATTTTTAGAGGATCACTTCTACAAGGCGCTGGACTGGGTACTAAAACAGAACGAGTTTGTCGTGGAGACGAGTCTAGTGGGCGTGGTCATGAATGGTCTGTCACACATGCACAGGGTCAAGGTCAAAGCCGAGTTCGCCTGCTGTTTGATCCGAGGACTGGGAGGTAACTTGTCTCCCACAGCCAAGACTGCGTTTGCAAAGGAGGTAACTTTGTGCTTAGGTTAAAGTCCGTTAATGGGGTGGGGCATTCCTTGGCACAACTCCTAAGGCATAATTCACGCAAATATATTAGAGAATCCCCTCCCGTTTCCGGGCATAAACACCTGACTTTTTTTCAAGAGATTAGAAAAGATTAAAGATTGGGAAAGAGGCAAATTGTCGCAAGCACTGAAGCACGGATTGATATAGATGAGTTGGATTTCTTTTGTCCGTGACTGATGTGTGTTGTTTGTTCAGTGAAAACCAGCTTATCCAACGCACAAAACACTCGTCCCTTTTACTGAGATTAAGCACCAAATGACTGTCTTCAATCCTCAACAACAAGCTCCCGTCAAATGTGCACGTCCTTTTTCTGTGTTCCAATTTAGGATGCATTTTCCCGAGCCTGTTCCAGGCTCTCGGTCAGTGGGAACGATCGAAAAAGCGGCGGGCGACGAGCGGGGTCCTTTTCTCTCCCGGCCGGATCCCGCTCGTTGCTGATCACGCTCGTCGCCCGCTCGCGTTTTCGATCGTCCCCACTGGCCGAGAGCCTGGAACAGGCTACATTTTCCCCAGTGAAAGATTCATAGCTTCCTTGATCCATTACGCGTAGTGTTTCGAAACACTGCTTTAAAAATGAGATTTTGCCTGAAACTTTACACTGACTGATAAAAGCTACCATGTTGTCATGTTATTCTCTAAGGTGTTTCACTGGACTCACGAGATGCCACCAGATCAGAAGAGGCCATTGGATACCTACTATGACAGCGACAGAGGACGGCTGGCTTCATACCAACTGGAGGTGAGTCAGTCAATTAAGGAGCTGTTATCCTCAGCCATAAACAAGGAAGGGGTTGAAGAAATACCGCATTCTCCATAATTATTGTCTTTTATGCACGTAACGATTTTTGTTAATGACCGAGAATAGTAATATAGACCTTCTTGAATGTCGTGTATAAGACAACAAGTTGTTGCTGTTGTTGTTGTTTTTAAGGATTTTACATCTTTTGACCATTGTTTTGTTACGCCAGGTTCCAGACTCGCTCGGCGTACATGACCTGAACTTGTCCACAGGCCTCTTGCCCGTGATTCAGACCGCTGACATCAAGAGAGGCCTGGACATGTTTTCTCCTTGGCTTCATCCAGACCATAAAAAGCCTTTCCTATTGGTCGGTCCAGAGGGGTGCGGCAAAGAGTAAGTCTTGCACATATTTTAGTTGTTAGATAAAGAACTGTTTGAAACCGGTATGATTGGTCAAGATTGGTCATGTGATGCATTTCCCCTCGACTGTTATGACCTCAGCAAATAGTTTTTCAAAACGTGACATTTGCTGACATTTTCAGTCACGAAGTTGCTCTGTTGTGCAGCCATGCCTACTAATACGTCTCTTATGATGGAAAAAAAAGTTCTCCAGCAACTTAGCCGCTAACGAAATACGCTGAACAGATCAAATTCGTACAAAGCATGAAGGAGCTCAGTTTTTGATCTTGGTACATTTCTACCTCAGGCTCCTGCTAAGGCACTGTTTTGAGCAGCTTCGCTCGACCCAGGTAGCTGTGGTACACTGTAGTGCCCAGACCTCTCCCATGCACGTTCTTCAGAAGCTCCAGCAGTCCTGTATGGTAATCAGTTCTAACACTGGCAGAGTGTACAGACCAAAGGACTGCGAGAGACTGGTACTGTATCTAAAGGACCTTAACCTGCCGAAACCGGACAAGTGGGGAACTAGTCAGCTCATCGCATTTCTGCAACAGGTAGAACTGGTTTTATTGACTTTCGTTTTCTTTATAGCAGCTACAATTAGACTGATAGCTAAGCAACTTGAAATGACAGTCAAGCTTTTTGTGCCTCGGGACGAGTATGTTATCCTAAAGTCTGACCTCTTTAAGATTACACACTCGTCCTTATTTGAAAATAGTCTTGTTTACGAGTGTCCTTTGTTCCTGCTTATATTTACCAAATCAAACATGGTATTCAATGTTCCCTGAGAAAATCATGCGTGCTCGAGTTCTAGAAAATCTGCTAGTGGGCGCACGATTGTGACCTCAAAAGTGCATTAATTTTCGTAGAAAACAGGAACGCCATCTTCTGTTTGGTTTAGAATATAGCATGAAAAAGCGAAAATATTATTAAAAGATAATGCAAGCTCAGCTACAATAGCGGGTATACGGCAACTATATTCTTAATTGTATCTCACGTAAAAATCTCTTACCCTTAAAAGAGTATTTCAAAGGAAGTAAATGGACTCTCAACAGTTCCTCTGTTGGCTGGTTTATCCGCCATCTTGAATATGAAACTCAGCCGCATGTTGCGAGGAGAGTAGGTCAAAGATGAAGATGACCGCCGACAATCCAAATTGTTGAAACAGATGTATTCTTCACGATTAAGAGACAAATGACTCATATTTTTACCAATTCCCACAGTTCTTAGTACTAGTACTGAACTACGCAACCCTAATGGTTTGTTCCACAGGTGCTGACGTACAAGGGATTCTACGACTCGAACCTGGAGTGGGTTGGTCTTGAAGGTGTACAGATAGTGGCTTCCATGACCGCTGGGACCGGCATGGGAAGACATCAGCTAACTACACGATTCACATCTATTGTTGGCGTTTGCTCCATTGGGTAAGCATTATTGATGCTGTTAAGTAGCTCTGTTTAACATGAAACACACGCTCATGTTTGTATGGCCTGATGAAAACAGAAGNACACTGGCAGAGTGTACAGACCAAAGGACTGCGAGAGACTGGTACTGTATCTAAAGGACCTTAACCTGCCAAAACCGGACAAGTGGGGAACTAGTCAGCTCATAGCCTTTCTGCAACAGGTAGAGAACTGGTTTCGTTGACTTTCGTTTTCTTTATAGTAGCTACAATAAAGCTGGAGCTAAGCAACTAGAAATGAGAGCGAACCCCTTGAACTTTTTGTGCCTCAGGATGAGTGTGTTATCTTAAAGTCTGAATCCCATGATATGAAAATGGTCTTGTTTACGAGTGTCCTTCGTTCCTGCGTTATATTAACCAAATCAAACGTGGTGTTCAATGTTCTCTGAAGAAATAATGTATGCTCGAGTTCTAGAAAAACTGCTAGGGGGCGCACGATTGTGACATTAAAAGTGCATTAAGTTTAGAAAACAGGAACACCGTCTTCTGTTTGAGCGGGTATACGGCAACTATATTCTTAAATTGTATCTAACGTAAAAATCTCTTACCCTTAAAAGAGTATTTCAAAGGGAGTAAATGGACTCTCAACAGTTCCTCTGTTGGCGGGTTTATCCGCCATCTTGAATATGAAACTAAGCCGCTTGTTGCGAGGAGCGTAGGTCAAAGATGAAGATGACCGCCGACAATCCAAATTGTTGAAACAGACGTATTCTTCACGATTAAGAGACAAATGACTAATATTTTTACTAATTCCCACAGTTCTTAGTACTATAACTGAACTACGCAACCCTAATGGTTTGTTCCACAGGTGCTGACGTACAAGGGATTCTACGACTCGAACCTGGAGTGGGTTGGTCTTGAAGGTGTACAGATAGTGGCTTCCATGACCGCTGGGACCGGCATGGGAAGACATCAGCTAACTACACGATTCACATCTATTGTTGGCGTTTGCTCCATTGGGTAAGCATTATTGATGCTGTTAAGTAGCTCTGTTTAACATGAAACACACGCTCATGTTTGTATGGCCTGATGAAAACAGAAGTAATAGTTTCGGGGAATTCTAAGTACTTTTTAAAGCGTCGATTGTTTTACTTTGACTGGAGCGATGCCAAAACCCGAAAAGAACATACAGAGTCATTTGAAAAGGGAAAACAGGCGGTCAAGTATACCATTCTGTGAAAACTCAAGGGTTTCTTTCTGCGCGGGGATTTGCTACAACTAGGGGTCAAGCTAAAGGGGTAATTTTGAGGGGAGAGAATGAAATGTTACTTTTCTGCCTCAAGTTTTTACACAAAGGAAGACCCTGCTCGTAACCTATCAAACTCCAATCCTTCTTTGGTCGATTTGAAAACAAAAGCTATTCATAAGGTGCTTTTGTCTTGTTGCTCTTGTAATCAGTGTTGTTTATTTTAGCTATGCTGATCGGGACCAACTACAGGCAATCTACAGTGCCTATCTACAGCCCGTGCTCAGCTCCTCTCTAAAGTCCCATCCAGTGTGGGGTGCGGTGAAAAATGTCCACACACTCGCCGGCTCAATGGTCTCTGTGTACGAGCAGGTTAGTGTCCAGTCTACTTGGTACACGTAAAGGAAAGTAGACATGTTATCGTTGTAGTCTTACTGTTGACTATGATTTAATTTCCGAAGTTTATCATTATTACGAGCTTGGTGTGTAGAATAACGTAATTACGCCAATCAAAGAGTAAAATTGACTTGACATCGTCAAATTCTTGCCAATTGTATATTACAAGATGTATGCAGACTGTAAAGGAGAATTTACCTTACATTGACGTTATCGTTTTTGTATTATTTTTTATTGGGGCGGAGAATGCTGAAAACGTATATAAAACGCTATAATCTTAATTTCGTGCCAGTTATCTTTCAAACCATAACCCTAAAGTAGCATCTTGAGTTTCTCGTGGAGTGAATAATGTGCTATTAAAAGAGGCCAAAGTTATAATAGCTTAAAAGAGACTCATCACTGAAGCGTAAAATCCTAATAAACCTGTGTCGTGTAAAAAAGACTGAGTCACTATTTTTAATGGGATCGAATGGTCAGTTTCTTATTAAAGCATTTAATAAAAAATATAAGGAGTAACGTAATTCGACGTTTCGATGTATCTGACATCATTATCAAGAATAAACATCGTTGCATGTCAAAGTTGTTAAAAGAGTCGAGTTATGAATATCGAGTCCGATTGCACGTTCAATGATGATTTGAGATCTTGTATGAACAGCAATTCGTAAATAAGGCAGTTTAGTCTAATTGTTCAACTATTACGGACAATTTTCGGTCCTCAAAAAGTGCAGGAATAAACTGGAATGCCTTATTTACGAAATGTTGTTTATACAAGGTCTCAAACCATCATTGAACGTTCAATCGGACTCGATTCGCGCGAAGCTCTTCCATTAGTTATCACGCACACAGGAATGCCACCTAATGATATTCATAACTCAACTTTTTTAACAACTTTGACGTTCATTGATTTTTATTCTTGGTAATGATATTAGATACATCGAAAGGTCGAATTACGTTACTCCTTATATTTCTTACTATTTTTATTGTCATGATATCTTAAAGAGTAATGACTCATTAAATCTTATAGGTTCGCTCTAAGTTTACTGTTGACGATTACTCCCATTACCTGTTCACCCCGCGTGACCTGACGAATTGGATCCAAGGCCTCTTGCGGTATAATCTGGACTCAGGCTCTGGGGATAGTTCAACTCAGCACCTGCTGGAAATTTGGGCGTACGAGGCGCGTCGCTTGTTCAGGGATAGACTTGTTGGAAAACAGGGTCTGGACAAGTTTGACAGGTACACTTCCAAGAAAGTCTCTTATTTTTATTTTTAGTTATTTGCTTTTTTCTATAGGCTCCAATAAGTTCTTTCTTGTTTTATGGAACCCTTTTCAAGGCGCCAAATTTCCTGTTGTTACCATTATAATGATTCTCTAGAAAAGCACTGGTTTGAATATGTAAAGAGAAAACAAATCTTTTAAATAATTCAGTTAATTTTGGTGTTTATTGTCAATAGTATAAAGAAACTATTAAATAATTTGTATTACGTGTGAAGAATCATCATTAATTCCTTTTTGTTTTTGTTTTTGCTTTTCTTCTTGAAACCAAATTTTACAAACCCTGCTGATGATGAAGTAAAATACGTTCACTCCTGTGTGCAACTTGGACACTGTATTTCACGTCTAGAAATGAGGAATTTTGTTCTTTAAAACTCTCTAATGTGTTTGAAATTTGTTCAGTATCCTAGCCTCCCAACTGCGTGCTGATTGGTCAGTCACTCTCGATCGCCTTGACAACAAGTGTTACGTCACGTGGGGCAGCAGTCTTACTGCCTCCGTGGTCCCCGCGAGTGATGCTGGGAAGGATGGAGAAGGAACGGCAGTAGTAGTGTCTGGAGGGTCACTGCCGCCTCAGGGCAAGATGCTGGGCAAGCTGGATCAGAAGGACTTCAGACAAGTCATCAGTAAAGGAATGAAAACTTATGGTATGTTCTGGGAGTTTTCCCAGAAACGCCGTGTTGAAAAATTATCCCGATTTTTTTTTTTTTTTTTTTTTTTTTTGAACTAAGAGAAAAAGTAGAAGTACGGCATTAAAGTTCTGGCCAATAGCTCCCATTTGAATGGTCACACACTTTCATTTCATCCACAGATTCTAAACTTATTTACAACCACCCTGGCCGCTTTAATAAAAGTTCCACACAAAAATACCGCTCTATAGCTTTCATTTGAATGGTCACACACTGTGCTTTCATTCACAGACCCGCCTGGCCTTGTGCAACAAACAATGTCACAAAGTATTACCCAATAAGTTTTTATTTTGGTAATCCTGTCTTTTGCAGCTCGTGAAAACCGCGAACTGGACATCCTTATCTTCAAAGAAGTCCTGGACAACATCGCACGTGTTGATCGCACGCTGACCAAACCCGGCGGCTCACTTCTTATGGCTGGTCGTAGTGGTGTTGGACGACGGACAGCGGTTGCTCTGGTTGCGCACATGCACAACATACAGTTGTTTACGCCCAAGGTTTCTCGAGGCTATGGACTAAAGCAGTTTAGGACTGATCTTAAGTCGGTAAGCGAGAAAGATGTGATGCATCAATCGCTTTTGTCTTTGGGTGCAAAGCGGCACTTTCAGCTAAACGACAGCTCGAAATAAACACTCTTGACTCTCAAAACTTTTGTGCGATGCGTAATGTGTTGTAAGTCCGGAGGTTTCACGCAAGGTGTTCCGCCGTTTTGCGCATAGAAATACTGCGCCTAGAAGAAATTTTTGATGTATCAGACTTTTGAAACGATTCTGGCCTGTACTTTTGCCCAGATTTAACCGTTCTTCAGCTGAGAAAAATTTATTTATCGTATAAATAAATGTTACTGTATAGAACACATCTCTGCGTATTGTTGTAAGATAATGAAAATGTCTAAGCTACGTTATAAATGTGCAACTTTGTAATGTGCATGTGGACGTATTTGCAGGTAATGTATACTTAACTGTTAACACTATTACTGTTATTTGGCCGGCAAGGTCCTACAAGGCGCGTATTTCTAAACTTGTAAACTTTTCTCCGCCTCTGGTTTACCCGCAGGTCATGCAGTTGTCTGGTATTGATGGAGAACAAATCGTTCTTTTACTTGAAGACCATCAAGTGGACCCGTCATTCCTGGAGCTGATCAACAGCCTGCTGAGCGCTGGAGAGGTGCCCGGTCTATACACCCCTGAGGAACTGGAACCCCTGTTGGGTCCCCTCAGGGACCTCGCCTCGCAAGATGGCTTCCGTGGCACGCTTGTCTCCTATTTTGCGTCCCGCGTGCTAAGGAACTTGCACATTGTGCTGATCATGGACTCTTCGTCCAAGAATTTCACTGCAAACTGTGAGTCAAATCCGGCGTTTTACAAGAACTGCTCGTTCCAGTGGATGCAGGGATGGAGTAAAGAGAGCATGGCACAGAGTGAGTACCCCCGGAGGGGGGAGGGGGAGACTCCCATGTGAAAAGGTCGGGAATTCTCGTCGGAAAGTTTGAATTGAACGACGAGCATCCCCGACCTTTTCACATGGGAGCTACCTCCCCTCTCCTCCCCTCTCCGGGCGAATATACCATTTAATCTTCACTAACCGCCATCTAACTTTAGGTAACCTTCGACTCACGTTGTAATCTTCGCTAACAAAATATATTTGCCTTAGTACCAGGAATGCTTCTTGCTGATGAAGGTCTGCACAGCGGAGAAGGAACTAAAGGCAAAGATAGTAAATCTAGTGTTGAAGAACTGGTCAAGAACTTCCTTCAGATTCACGAGTCGTGCAGTGATAAGGATGCTGCACCAAGACGCTACATGACTTTCCTGAAGACTTACAAACGAGTGTATAACGAGAAGAAGGATGGAGTGGTTAAAAGACAACAGCATCTACAAGTAAGTCAATTCAGCCTAAATTCTTTGTCATTTTCGCCCTCCTCGGTGCTTTTGAGCGACATTCCTTATCGAAACGTTACCGTTCATTAAAATTGGAGTTAAAAAAAAAGTACGAAACATGAACTGCATTGTACGGCAACAGTGTTTTTGACACAAAAGTTGCTTCACTACTGCGCAGTTAACGTCACACGAATAGCCAGCACTTACAATCTTAGTTACTTTACCTAGCTGTAAATTTAAACAGTTTTGGGTTAGACAAGCCACAATCTACAAACTTTGTCGTTTATCTGTAAACTGTCTTTGTCATGGCAGGCCATCATGTCAGTGATTTGATATCTAAGGATAACAGTGCCCGGTCGTTCAAAGGTTGGTAATGTGACCCACTGGATAAATCACACTTCCGGGTGGTATTTTAAACACTTGTCTTTGCTGTGGATGTCTTTATCCACCCTTTGAACACAAACAACCGGGACTACAGTTCCCTCATTGGCCGCTGCTAAATTTGACGTTGTACTGATCTTTACTAACCTATCTTGCTCGAGCCGTACTGGGGAATATTTTCCCTTGGTCATTTTTTAAAGGACCTCGCTGCGCTCGCTCCGTACTGCCACGACCTCGAGCCAATATTCTCCACTAAGACCCTCGCGCTCGGTTTGAGAGAGGTTACTGTCAAGCGGTTTAACTTGTTGTTTACGCGTTCTTGATAGGCTGGTGTATCAAAGCTGACTGACGCCAAGGCGCTGGTGGACGATTTGAAACAGAAGGCAGGAGAACAGAGTCGACAGTTAGCTGAGAAACAAGAAGAGGCTGATGCAGCTCTCAGAGAAATCACCGCCAGCATGCAGGTAAATTATGGCTTAGTTTAACTAGGTTGACACTCCTTTGCACTCGAAGATTTCAGTTGTAATGTAAGTGAAGAACTACATGAGTATCACTAGATGACTAACAAAGTTGAAGAGTGCGATCAAAGTATGCTTCATTTTTAGATCGAGCGAGTTAGATGGTTGCTTTGATGGCTGAGGCATGAAGCGCGGGCAGTGAATAAGTTCTCTAAAGCCCGTTAATCCGACGACCAGCACACCATCATACCAATGTGGTCGTGTTAATTGGCTGCCTGCAATAAAGGATTTTTTTCTTCAGGGCATATGAAAGTGGCGCTTTTAATGAAGTGATCCTCAGGGCATCAGAGCGAGTTTCTGCTCTATTTTCTCCTGTTTGTTCATAAACCTTATCCGTGTGCTGTTTTCCCTTCTTCACCAAGCGTGCCAGCGAGTCCAAAAGCGAAATGGAAACTCTGAAACAAAAACAAGGAGAGGAGTCGCTAAAGCTGGAGAAGAGAAAGAAGGCAATCGAGATTGAATTGTCTGAAATCGAGCCGCTTGTCCAGGAGGCAAAGGACGCTGTTGGTGACATTAAACCCGAGTCCCTCTCGGAAATCCGCGCTTTGCGCATGCCCCCGGATGTCATCCGGGACATCTTAGAAGCCGTGCTTAGGCTGATGGGAGTTTTCGATACATCCTGGGTTAGCATGAAAAGGTGAGGTCAGGTTTAATTGGGGAAGACGTCTCTTACAAGAACTGTTACGACATGAGGTCGGATAATCATGTGTCTGTTCGAAATCTGACTGTGTCATCGTGTGCCTGTGCTAGCCGGACGGATAAGGAAAAAAAAGATAAAGTAAAATAATAGTGAATTCATCTCTTGGCCGATATTGTTTATTTTCTGTAATTTCTTTCTCTCTTTTTCTTGCGTCTGTTTAATTTAAATGAGTAAAAAAAACGTGATCTTTGCTCTGGAATCTTTTGGCAGTTTCCTGGCTAAGCGAGGTGTCAAGGATGAAATCTGTTCATTTGATGCGCGCAAAATCACTCCCGACATAAGAGCGAGCGTGGATGAATTGCTGCAAAAAAACGCCAACTCCTTTGAACCCAAGGTATGTCCCTAGAACTTGAAAGGTTACTTCTTTTACTTATTGACATAAGCTGGCTTTACATGTAACGTTTGATCTGAGAATTCGTGGTACATCATTGTTCATCGAGAAAATTCCTATTCAGGATTGCTACTTTCTTTACAATGTAGTAAATATATTAAGACCATATTTGACCCTTAGTCATAGACGTTTGAAAGGAAAGCCGAATCCTGTACTTTTAGTGAGCAGCGTTTTGCAATGTGAGCGGCACATCGTGAAATATTCCACGACTGACGAGTGATTTTTCAGTATACGGCTACCTATACCTGTATCTCTCTATGCCATAAGGCACATAAGACTTTCACAGGATCCTTAATCGAATGTGTATGCCTAGAAAAAGGACCCGAGAGGGTTATCCTCCTCTTGCCCCGACCCTTTTCGCGCCCATGGCGCCTTTTTTTTGACGTTCGCGTTTGCAGGGTAAGTTACGCTCGTTGGACACTAATTAAGTAAAGTAAGTAAGTAACTTTATTTCAACTCGAGTTGATGAGGCTGATTAGGCCCCAAGTAATACAGTCATGCTAACATGCCGAGAAAAATATACAAATATATATATATATATATATATATATATATATATATATATATATATATATATATTGAAAANTAAAATTATTACAGTGAATCATAGAAAACTGTACATCACAAATTTAGCTCTCTTACGGAGAAAAACCTACCACATGCATTCTAGAAGTCAGTCTGGTCTGACAACTTTTTTTCTGCGTGGTTTTTCTTTAAAAAGTGGTCTGTCAGTGGTGTTCAAATCCCAGTAGAAGTTTCTGACGAAGGCGGAAAAAGATATTGGTCAAATTTTACGATTTCACATCTCCGATGCCCTTTTACAAGACATTAGGGAAATGAATTTTGAAACAAATAAACGCGCGCTGGCTTCCAAGGTTTTCTTTGATGGACAGATGCCTGTGTAGCCAAACAGGTAGCCAGTTAGGTAACAATCAATCGCTAGTTTGGTTAATAGTCTGTAATTCTTGATCATTAGCTGGCCAAACGAGCAAGTGTGGCGGCCGCGCCATTGGCAGCCTGGGTTGTGGCTAACGTCAAGTTCTCTGTCGTCCTGGAAAAGATTGAACCGCTGGAAAACGAGCAGGCTCAACTGGAGAAGTAAGTTCGATCCTAGCTAAAGGAGGAATGTCCAGTTCACTAACAGTTTTTGAATGTTTGATCAGGAACAGGAAACAATGAAAGCAATGCAATGTCTCAGTGTTTCAATACCAAGAGGTTGCAGTAAAGCGGGCCTTGAATTTTAATGAATAGCTTCAAAATTACGTACTTTTACTGCTAACCCACTTTGGTGAGTCAAAGTCTCCTCAAACAAAGGCAGTCTTGAATTTTCTTACCTATAGGACGATTTTATTCATGGCTTTTATTTTGTTTTGTTTTTTTTTTCTTTAGAAACCTCGCGAAATCTCAACAAAGACTCGTGAAGCTGGGAAATGCCTTGGACAAGGTGGATAGAGAAGTGGCTGAAATGAGAAAGAGGTACGAACTTGCTGCTGTTANGTCTGGTCTGACAACTTTTTTTCTGCGTGGTTTTTCTTTAAAAAGTGGTCTGTCAGTGGTGTTCAAATCCAAGTAGAAGTTTCTAACGAAGGCGGAAAAAGGTATTGGTCAAATTTCACGATTTCACATCTCCGATGCCGTTTTACAAGACATTAGGGAAATGAATTTTAAAACAAATAAACGCGCGCTGACTTCCAAGGTTCTCTTTGATGGACAGATGCCTGTATAGCCAAACAGGTAGCCAGTTAGGTAACAATCAATCGCTAGTTTGGTTAATAGTCTGTAATTCTTGATCATTAGCTGGCCAAACGAGCAAGTGTGGCGGCCGCGCCATTGGCAGCCTGGGTTGTGGCTAACGTCAAATTCTCTGTCGTCCTGGAAAAGATTGAACCGCTGGAAAACGAGCAGGCACAACTGGAGAAGTAAGTTCGATCCTAGCTAAAGGAGGAATGTCCATTCTAAATTTCAATGTAATCTTTCAATTTTGTAACTATTAAATAAGTTCACTAACAGTTTTTGAATGTTTGAGCAGGATCAGAAAACAATGAAAGCAATGCAATGTCTCAGTGTTTCAATACCAAGAGGTTGCAGTAAAGCGAGCCTTGAATTTTAATGAATAGCTTCAAAATTACGTACTTTTTCTGCTCACCCAGTTTGGTGAGTCAAAGTCTCCTCAAACAAAGGCAGTCTTAAATTTCCTTACCTATAGGACGATTTTATTCATGGTTTTTATTTTGTTTTTGTTTTTGTTTTTTTCTTTAGAAACCTCGCGAAATCTCAACAAAGACTCGTGAAGCTGGGAAATGCCTTGGACAAGGTGGATAGAGAAGTGGCTGAAATGAGAAAGAGGTACGAACTTGCTGCTGTTATGTCCACAAACAATCCTAGCTTCAGTATCAAGTGATGTAGTCTTTCTTGTGGCTCGACATACATGCACCAGCGTTTACCCTCGGCCGGTTTGGCGACTAGGCGTACTAATACTACCTTTGAATCATGATACTAAACCAAAACAGGTTATCTCTAGCATTAATGGGAAGCTTCCACTGTAGCAATAGAGAGAAGCACTGTGTACCTATGTCTTAATGTGAAGGATCAGACCAGGACTTCGACCATGAACCATCCCTCCATCAAATCTCTCATGTCCGTCAATCTCTGACTGCTGGACCATTTCGTTCTAGTTTTCTGAGAATAAGTACAATTCGTTTCAACTTTGTGATTTTTGGCTCAACCAATATTTTCCCATTGCCATGCTGTACTAGACCATCTTTTCTTATTGTCTATGCACTGCTTTTCTCTAATGCATGCATTGCTCCCATTCTGCGCTGCAGTTCAGAAGTTCTATCTCCTACATCATAGCATAAACTAAAGGCGACTGCAATGCAGAAGTACTACAGCGCTAAAATCTTGTTATTGTTGTTGATTAGATTTGAGCTGAGGACTCAGGAAGCCACACAGCTGAAGATGGAACTCGACAAAGCACAAGAAACGATTCAAGCGGCAGAGACACTTGTGTCTAAACTTGATGGAGAATTCAAGCGCTGGTCAGGGCAGGTACGATATGAATGCTGAAGACGGATTCAAGCACATTTGTGAACTTAGCCTTAGACGTGCAGTTATATGTCATATCGTGTTTGCATGATTCTTCTTTAAACAAATGGAACCTGACAGTAATAATGTACTAAGGGAGAAAACCTAGAGGAGTGGTTACAACACTTTAAGATCGAAAAGACTTGGTGAAAGACCAGAAACACAGCACAGCAGACACATATCTGGAAGGTAATCGTGAAACTCTGAAAGCAACAATAAACAAAGGGTTGGGAAAAGTAGAAGAAACTAAAGAGGTAACGGTAAACATAGTTGGAGTCAGAGGTGTCGAGCATTCTAGGAGGTTAGAACGGAGTCTGAAACGTTTGGTCATAATTTTCAATTGAACTGTACTAATCGTGAGTTAGCTTTAAAAATATTGAAAGTCCGAAATAAATCTATTGAAATATCTTCCCAAGTCTTATATGAAAGTAAGTATTTAAAATTCTGAAAGCAACTTATACAGTGTATCAACCAATTGCATTGCAAGCGAATTGTTACCTTCCTGCAGTCATGACACCTTCGGCGAAAAGCAAAAGATCTTAGAGATTTATTAAGTTATACTATAATATTTCTGTCCGGCAATGGTCGCCACGAAACCAAGTAATACCACGTTGACCTTGTTTACCACCCTTTGCTTTCCAGGTTCACGAGCTGACCGCTGAACTGGAACAGCTTCCAAGGCGGGCTCAGCTGGCAGCTGGTTTCATCACTTACCTGAGTAGTGCCCCTGAGGACGTGAGAAAGGCCACCATGGCGAGATGGTGCGAGGCGGCTGGACTCCAAGGATTTGACTTCAGAAGGTTCATGAGCACAGAGAGTGAACAGCTGGGGTGGAAGGCGGAGGGTCTACCCTCTGATGACCTCTCCATGGAGAACGCGCTTGTGATATTGAAGGTTAGTTCATCTACTGCTTCATGCTCATAGTATGAAACTTTTGTTACGAGGAAAACACAAGTTTGATAGTAATACAGCACTGTTTTTGGACACTGCGTGAGTACTGAGGATTATCTTGTTTTCTGTTTCTTTAGTTTGTTTTGGTCTGGTCTGTTCTGTTCCGTCCTGTTTTGTTTCGTTTTCTTGCTTTGTTTCTTTTTTACTTTACTTTGAGTTCAATTAGAAGTCGACTGTGTGTGACTGTGAGTCACCAAATGCGGTAAAGACTAGCTGACAAAACTAACATCGCGATTGGATTTTTTTTTTTTTCTTTTTTTTTTTTCGGATTTGAAATTGAATATCATCTATGGCTAAAGAAACTTTGATTCCACGATATAAATGAAAGGAAAAGCAAAATTTAGATTTCAGACAGTTCACCTTTTAAACACGTCAAGACACTGTATTTGGTTTCCATCTTACATGTCCGGGGATCGATCTGGCACGTTCTCAACTGACACTGACCTTCGCCAATCGCTCAGGCTTAGGTCGATTTGCATGTCGAATTTGTGTTTTGAAGATTGGATGTGTTTNTTTAATTTTACCAGAGCACCATGAGGCCGTTCTTGGTGGACCCATCATCTCGAGCTACAGAATGGCTGAAAATCCATCTGAAAGAGCAGAGACTGGAGGTGATCAATCAACAGGTACTGCCAGGGACTCTGTAAGCGAGACACAAAGTTTGCAGAGAACATTGCAATGCAAGAGAGTGGACTGTGTCCTTTCTCTTTAAAGTCAATGACCAGCTTGTCTGATCTTTTTAGATTAAGTGTTAATACCCTTCAATGCTTGTTGTTTTGCGTCGTCAAAGAAATTCTGACTTTTTTCACGGGTTATAGGATAGGAGAATTGTGTTCCCAACACTTAAGAAATCCATGATTTTGAGTCAAATCCTTAACGTTCCTTCACAACTTTAGTTTTTAATATATAGAAGAGCGGGTTTCGTTTGGTTTATTTGTTTTTTGTAGTTTGTTTGTTTCTTTTTCTTTTCTTTTTCTTTCTTTCTTTCTTTCTTTTTTTTTTTTAATTATTCCTCAGTTGAGACACGTACGTTCCTTCTACTGTATTTTTAGTTATGCCTTGTATTTAACGTATTTTTTCTTCTTGTCAGGACTCTAATTTCTCCACCGCTCTGGAGCTTGCTGTTCGGTTTGGCAAGACGCTTGTTATTCAGGAGATGGACGGTGTAGAGCCTGTCTTATACCCAATCCTCCGCGGAGACTTCATCAGCCAAGGTAAGCGCGCTCCTCTGATCCTCTCCTCTAGGGTGGTTGGGGTGAAGTGGGGCGTTCGACACTTTGCTTTTTCTACTTTTTGTGTAGTGACCGGATCAGTAAAAGAAGTAAGGGTGCTTTCTTGGAAGTGTTTGTCGCCTTTTAGTTTCCACTTGTCCTAATTTACCGCTTTATACATAAACCTAGATTGATTCACCTTTTTAGGCCCTCGATATGTGGTGCAAATTGGCGAAAAGGTCATCGATTACAACGAGGACTTCAAGTAAGTAAGACTGTCTATACAAGAACCTCGGAGAAGGAACTGTTTTTTTTATTTCATGCAAACTATAGCTGGGAAAAGTGACACTGAAACATCTTTAAATCTGAGAGAACGTTCCTGAGAGAACTATGTTCCTGAGATAGTTGTCTAGCAACTTGTTAGACATCAGTCACCGGTCAGTTGCAAAGTCGAACTTCTAAAATCTCAACTAATCGTTTAAACTCGATTTGAATTCTCGAGGATACACTTTTGTTATTTTCAAGCATCACGTTATTAAGAATCTTCCCTGTTTCTTTGAATTTTAGATTGTTCATGACTACACGTAATCCCAACCCTGAGCTACCCCCAGACGGGTCTGCTATTATCTCTGAAGTGAACTTCACTACCACACGGGCTGGACTGACAGGACAGGTACAAGAATAATATCTTGATTGCATCCATAACTCAAAACTGTACGCTACGGCGTTTACCATTTGTTAATTTTGTTGTGAATTATTAATTCCATTTTTCATCATCTAAGCTGTTGGGAGTGACAATCCAACACGAAAAACCACAGCTAGAGGTACAGAAGACTGAACTGCTGCGAAAAGAGGAGGAGCTGAAAGTACAGTTAGCCGAGCTGGAAGAATCACTGTTAGAGGTAAGGACTAAACTTAAGTAATTCTATACTCTGTTTGTGTCTCCTTACTTTCATAGCCAGCGAGCAGGCTCTGATCGTTGGTGGCACAAGCAAAGCCGTCGGCAAACGAAGCGACAGTCTGCGAGTGAAGCGAACTGGTGAGAATGAGAGCTCACCGGCTTGCTTCGCTCGCTGACTCATCTCTCACGACTTTGCTCATCGACTTTGCTCCTGCCACAAAGTATGAGAGCCTGCTCGCAGACCACTGCTTTCACGAAGGCAGACAGACAGTGAGATTATGACGGTAAGCTATCTCACGGACGGCGCTTCCTTGAAAAAATTGGCCAATTGCAGTATCCATCTTGATCTTTCTCAGTCATACCTACTTTTGTGACTCAAGGGTGGGAGCTTAGTGGAGAAGGGTGCTCTGATTGCCTTTTGAACATAAGCGTCTGAGTGTGATATAATACTGTAAAGAAAAACTACAGAAACTGTAACGATAAGGGCTGTGATAACCATAATATTCACTATTACGTTGAGATAAGAAAGCAGATTTCATAGTTCAATCGTCTAATCAGTCCATTGTATGTCAATGTTTGAATGGTGCTTTCGCTACGGGGGCACTTATTGGAAAAACTCTCTGGGGAGCGTAGCGCGTATTAGGACGGGGCGCTTATTAGAATGACGGCGCTAAATCGAATCATTATACAGTAATCTCCCTAGCCTATTTTCGGTTTCAAATTACTTCTTCGATTCCTTTCTGCCTTACAAAATTAATATTTAGAGGGTTTCTTCAAATTGAAAGCGGCTTTGTCTTAATGTAGGACGAACATCTTGTCCTGCTTCGTACAACCTGAACCCTGGTTGCCGTGTTTCGACTCATAAATCTCACCGTTATCCGCCCCTGTTCGTATCTCTTTACATACATTGCATTTCCCTGTGAAAAGTCCCTTCCCAGAGACCTTTCACCATAACAGGTGAATCGAGTGAAACTGCTATGGTAGTTGTTGGCGTTAGATGCGAGGTAGAGAGCGATCATTTTGTCCTCGTATTAATGTATCTTCCCTTGATTTTTTCCAGACATTAGCCAGTGCAGAAGGTAACATCTTGGAAAACAAAGTGTTGNGCTCACCGGCTTGCTTCGCTCGCTGACTCATCTCTCACGACTTTGCTCATCGACTTTGCTCCTGCCACAAAGTATGAGAGCCTGCTCGCAGACCACTGCTTTCACGAAGGCAGACAGACAGTGAGATTATGACGGTAAGCTATCTCACGGACGGCGCTTCCTTGAAAAAATTGGCCAATTGCAGTATCCATCTTGATCTTTCTCAGTCATACCTACTTTTGGTAACTCAAGGGTGGGAGCTTATTGGAGATGGTGCTCTTATTTCCCTTTGAACATAAGCATCTGAGTGTGATACAACACTGTAAAGAAAAAAAAAACAGAAACTGTGACGATAAGGGCTCCGTGATAGAGCGGTTTTCTTGTCCCGCTTCGTACAACCTGAACCCTGGTTGCCGTGTTTCAATTTATAAATCTGAGGGTTATCTGCCCCTGTTCGTATCTCTTACATACATTACATTTCCCCGTGAAAAGTCCCTTCCCAGAGACTTTTCACCTTAACTGGTGAATTGAGAGAAACTGCTATGGTAGTTGTTGGGGTTAGATGCGAGGTAGAGAGCGATCATTTTGTCCTCGTATTACTGTATCTTCCCTTGATTTTTGCCAGACATTAGCCAGTGCAGAAGGTAACATCTTGGAAAACAAAGTGTTGTTAGAGTCATTGAACAAGACGAAGGCGAGCAGCATGACCATTGCTGAGTCACTACAGGATGCACATAGAATACAGACCACTTTAGATCAGGTGAGAATCAATCTATGTCAAGTAATCTATGTTCAAAATAGATTGATTTTTCTTTCTTTGGAAGAACTTTTTAGCACAAAATTAAGGTCGTGTCGCTGGACTGCATTTGTTTTGAGACTATTCACTTCTGATGTCAGTCACAGCTTCACGGCTTACCGTCTAGTTACCAAATACTAGATGGTGTTTCGTGTTCTCTAACAAAATTATACGCGCTTATGGTCTAGAAAAACGAGTGCGTTCAGCGGTTTTTCNTCAGGAAACCTCGTGTTGCTAGGCAACATTTCCGCTGAATAATGCGGACTGAGGCCATTTTTTCTAACGTGCGTGTTTTCATGTATTTCATTTTCTTTCCTCTTTCTGTTTTTTCATTGACCTTCGCCACGGGTACCAACGTCAAAGTTTCTTTTTCTGTAGTTCCCGTGATTTCATTCTGTTCTACTGATGCATTCATAGAACTAAAGCTATTAAAACGACACTATAATAACCCATTTGTTTTCTTTTTTAAAAAATTATATCTTATATTCGGCTCTTATTCCCTTGGTATGTATGTTGTTTTTTTTTTCTGTTCTCTCTCTGAAAATATGTTACCTCTTTGCAGGAATCTAGCAGTACAGAACAAAGAATCAAGACACTGAGGAGCGCGCTGCAATCATTGGTGTACGAATATGTCTGCAGGTCGCTATTCAAGGTAAATCGAGAACACACTTTGTTCGTCACCACGTTTAAAGTAATTCAAGTACACCTGTCCCCCGTTGGAACTGAGGGCTTGTTTGTTTTTTTTCTGTGTAGGCCGACAGATTGATGTTTGCGATACATTTGGTACATGGTATGCATCCAGAAATGTTTGAAACAAAGGTAATATTTCTATAGAACACTACGTTTGTGGGCGCTTTGTCGAACTTTAGATGTATTTCAATTCACTTTCTATAACTTCCTTTGTTGTCCGTTCCATCCTATTAATTGTATACGTGACTGCAATATAGACTTTAACATCCATCCACGAGAAGAAGCGATATTTCCTATTACAAAATAATTGAGCTTCTACGCGCGCTCTCATTAGTCGATAGGTGTGTTTAGATGAGAGTCAGTAAACACGGTTGTGACGTTTTAAAGCAATAGAGCAGTTTTCCGTTTTTACATAGCCTCATCCAAACACTCGCGGGGTTTGGAGAATTCTCGAAAGTTGTGCAAACCCTTGACGTAACTGTCTCGAATTCTCCCAACCCTCCTCGTGTTTAGATGAGGCCATGTAAACACGGAAAAAGTGTTCTATTGCTCAAGTCCTTAATGCTACGGTAACTGGAGTTAAGTATAACCAGTCGTGAGGAACAGCCAGACATACTTGCTACCCGTGACCTGCTATTTATTGTGAGCAAAATGTTATAACTGGACTTATATTCTCCACTCAGGAATGGGAATATTTTACCGGTCTGCTGGTTTCGGAGAGCGTTTTTAAGAGACAGGTATGTTTATGATACTCTACAATTCGGAGTAAAGTATGAGTTTCAAATAGAGTATTTCATTCAATTCCAAGAAGAACAAAAATTAATATTTTCGAATTGTTGGATTACCTGATAAAACTCAACGTGCTAGCCAAAACAAATACAGTGGAACCTCATTAATCCGGTCACCATTGGGCCACAAAAATCTGGCCGTATTAACGGAGTGGTCGTATTAAAGGGGTTCTTTAAATAAGAAAATGACTGACTGAGTTTTGGTTCGGACCAGAATAAAGTGGCCGTAATAACGAGGTGGTCGTATTAACGGGGTGGTCGTGAGGCGGGGTTCCACTGTATAAAGAATTAAATCGCCATAATCCGAGCTACATAATTACTTGATTTCAGCGTCTCTTTTTCCTTTGTTTAACTCAATTAATGAGTCACTTCCTTGAGTCACTTAATGAGTCATTTCCTTCCTTGAATTGAAAATTCGTGTACCGTTATTTTTTTTCAACAGGAATCCATGAAGAATCTTCGTGACAGCCTTCCATCCTGGATTGACTCTGATCGAGCTGCTGCTGTTGGTTCACTGAAGGTTTGTTGTAACCATACTAGTGATTAATTGGTCAAATACCTTCAACCTACGCTTAGACCTAATTCACACTAGCGACTGGACATAATCGCTTATGTCGGTAATGTGAACATAGACATAAAGACGTAAGGAAAAGATCAGTTTTTTTATTTTCTTTAATAAGTCGTTCTGTTCTTACTGTCATTTTGCTACTATGTCAATATGTCAGCATGCTTTAAAAAACTTACTGATGAATATTAGGTTCAGAAACATTCATTTGCGCAAAGATTTGGAATTTTGGGTTTGATAAGGCCAAACTCACACTAGCAACATCGTTATCTTTGCTGTGAAAACATCTTCTACAACTCAGCAGATACGAAACGTCAACCGCTCAAATCTACAACAGTCGTGAACTGAAGTACTAGTAGGCTCTCGAATTCATATATGTAAATCAAAAAGCTGGAACGTTCTTACTGTTTGTCTTCACAGAACACTTTTCCAAACATGTACAAGACTCTTCAGCTGGAAACGTCTGACCTGTGGATGCCATTCCAGCGCAGTTCCCAGTGTGAACAGGATATCCCGTCATCTGTAGCTAAAAAGATCAGTCTCTTCCAACAGGTGAGAACACTTGGGTTCCATTTGGTGCAACACCAACCAGAAAACAGAGATTAACACACACCCTGAAAACTCTCACTTGTCAATTAAACCCTGCGCTGTCTTGCAAAATGGGTGTGGACGGGACATCTTTCAATGGATACCGTTTTTTGTTGTTGTTGTTGTTGTTTGCGGTGTTTGGTAAATCAAGGGTGATATAGAGCGGTTTTCAATAGAGAGTAGAAAGTAATAAGGCAATTACTTTGGTTTTTGGTTTTGGTTTTATTACAATCTGAGATAAGTTGAGGAGTCTAACTGGTAAGTAGCTGGTTTGGTTTTGGCTTACGACACTCAATTGAATAACGCTCTTAGGTGTACCCCGCGTGGCAGGGCAAATATGATCCGTTGTTAACAGCGAGTAGCATAACTCCCAATTGCTATACGTTGCAAGAATTAGAGTTTATCCTGCATAAGCGAGGCTCTATGGTAAAAAAAGGGACCTTTCAATAGACCAGTTTCGATATATTAAAATTCAGCCTAAAACAATTGACCTCAGTACGAGGCTCTGGGGAATAACTACTGAGTTTGTGGGGTTTATTCCCCAGAACCTCGTGCCGTCTATTGTGGTTAGGCTGAATTTTAATATATCGAAATTGGTTATTCTAATTTACGCATGTCTTATTGTATATAGGTGTTGATCGTCCAAGCTCTCAGGCCGGACCGCTTGCAGAGTGCGATGAGTTTGTTTGCTTCAAAGGCGCTTGGTAAGACAATATGTTTTTAGGAAAGAATGGGACAAGGTTTCTACTTACCTTACGGTTAATCTTGTTTTAGACTCCAGGACAGGCGGTTTACAATCTTTTTGTATTAATTAAATAGTTCTGATTCTTCTGTGATCTTATCAATAGCCCATTTCCAAGTTGACCTAAGCCTCTATCAAATCGATGCCTAGTGCACAACCATTCACATGAAAATGAGTTTAATTTGCATGTGAATGAAATCTTATTTTCATATGAAAGGATGGGCACCAAGACTCCCTTTGCGAAATAGGCTAAAGGTAATTCGGAAATGGCCCAGTGAAGTGTTTCTAAGAAGTGTAGCCATAATTAATTTTTGGAACGTGAATCTGTTTGACTAATAGCTAATCACAAAGGTTTAACTTTAGCCTAGAGGTTTTTGTTAACCCTTATACCGCCTTTAAATTGTTACTGTTATCATCCTCAGAAATGAAGGAACTGTCCCCTCCTGCTTTAAACCTTAAGAGACTGGTAAAGGAAACAGTTCCGGGGGAACCAATCTTGATTGTAATTTCACCTGGTGCAGATCCTTCTCATGTAAGTTTGCTCACTCGTCTGTTTTGTTGTTTAAAAACGTAACAACGGGCCTCGCGATGAAAATTCCCGATAGCTTCTTCATGCCAAGTCAGACGAGTATTTCTAGATGACTAGGATCAAACATTCGACATCATCCGAAACTAACACTGTATACTGAAACACGCGTTGAATTATAACGCTGCTTTTAGTTTAAAAGACCCTAGTCAGCCTCCGCCATATTCGATGCCATCGAAATTATTGATATTGCATGGTGAAGCGAAATCTTATTGCTTCACTGTAAGTTGTGTTCCTGAAAGTATGTTTAATTATCTTCAGTTGTTTCACAGTGATTTCCTTCATTTTGACATGCTCTGAATAAAATATAATAACCAAACTTTCGCATGTAAACAAAAACAAAGGTGTGGCTGACTAGGGCCCTTTAAGGCGGGTGGTGTGGTTATTTGTTTTCCTTTTTCTTAAAAAAAAAAAAAAAGCCTTACATGGCTTCTTTAATGACAGAAACTTGCGATTCTTGATTGATTTTAGTTCGTGCCTTGACCCAACGGGCCAAGATATATATCTTGTTTGTCGTTATCGTCTTCGTTATCATTGCCACTATTAGTACTATTTTCATCGATGTATTCCATAAATTCCAATTCAAGCAAGTAAACGAAAACGAAAAAGGAAAACTAAGAATATTATACCAGTCACGCATAATATTTTCGTTGCGTTACTTCGCAGGAATTGCAGGACACGGCTGCTGACGTCATCGGCGTGGATAAATACCATCAGGTGCGTGACTTCAGTTCTTAGCAAGAGATGATAACTTGTAGAGTACCCTTGCGTAGATCTGTCGAAAAAATTGCAGACTATATCAAGATGCCAGTTAAAATTAGCTGATTTTTGTTAATTGTGAGTGGAAAAAGAGAAGCTAGCTACACATAGTTGTCAACTATGGACAAATTGTGTTGGAAAGTGTGCAAAAACATGAAATCATAACCGTAATGTTCGCAGAATAAGTGTTAGCACCCCCATTTCCCCTTTCAATGTTGGAAAATGGTAACATGCAAACTAGTTTTAGACCGAAGTGTTTTGTCAACATTGCACAGGGGTGGAGAGGGGCAAAATGTGTATTGAATGACGTTTTCCGACCCTTGTGACCAAGGCTGTAGTCAGTTTTTTTTTTCCTTTTTTTTTCGCTGGAATGTGTACAAGTAGCATTATCACCTGATCACTGTTCTTATGGGAGGCGCGGTTCCCTAACGATTAGCACGTTGGATTTCGGATCAGGGCGCCTGGAACTCGGTCGGGATCATGGTGCATCATTTCGTTGCGTCTCATTGTAGGAAAGATCTTTTATGGATACGGTCTTTACTCGTCCTCAACTCATGTTTGAATGTGTTTAGGTTGCCATGGGTCAAGGCCAAGCAGACATAGCTCTTCAGCTTCTTCATGACTGTGGCAGGAATGGCGAGTGGCTCTGCTTGAAGAATCTTCACCTCGTCACCGCCTGGCTTCCCGTCCTCGAGAAAGTGAGTAGTTAACTTGTTTGAAACAAAGAAAGAGACACCGCTATCCATCTTTCCTGATTCTAATTTGTCTGTTACTAAAGAAAAAATGTGTGAAATTTCGTGATATCTGATTCCCTGCATTAGTCATCGAGGTTTACCCAACAGGCAATCTTTGATCGCTAAAGATAATGCTTTTTTAACTCACTGGCTGTGTCTACGAGACTCGGCTACAAGTATATGTTTGTGTTGACGTTTTATCCGGTTTAAAATTCAATGAATTTATTTTCACAGGAACTCAATTCTCTGGAGCCTCACGAGAACTTCCGTCTGTGGCTGACAGCTGAGAGTCATCCCAAGTTTCCGACAATACTGCTGCAGTCCAGTCTGAAAGTCACTTACGAGGTTAGTACAGTGATGCAAAAATATGAACATGAAAGTCCACTGAAGCGCTGGTTAGGAACTGCCAAATACAAGTGAACGGTCCAGATCTTTCAGGCGGTAGCCTTTTGTTAGTACTTGTGCTTTTAAACAAGATATAAAGTGCGTACCAAACGATTAGTTTTGTTGTTATTATTATCACTGATGATAGTGAAGAATGATCGTCGCAGTAAATTTTC